CCGGCTGCAGGTCCCCGGCGGGCTTCCCGCGTGGTGTGGGGCGGCCTCGCGGGGGTATCGGAGAGCCAGAGCTTGTCGTCTAGGAGCGGCTGGATGGCGCCCTTTACTTGTAATTACCTTGTACGCCTCTGCCTGAGCACCTCTGCAGCTGCTTAGTAAACACCTCTCCGTGATTTTGGGTTTGTTTTTTTTTTCTTTTTGTGGCGAGTTCCTTCCTTGCCCGGTGTAATTTTTGTAGGGGATGAACGTGGTCATACTGTGACAGTTGGAGAACTATGTAACAAGTAAGAGAAATAGTAGATGGATGCCATCTGAGAAACTTTTCACTGTTGTTATTATGGCTGTTGAAATACCATTAAGTACAAACGAGAGGAGTGACTTCTTCCCCTTGGATTCCCAGTCCTTGCAACATACAACCCGTGTTGCCACAGTTCTCGGTCAACCATTTTTCAGCCCATCAGCATTTTAGAAGCCATTAGTGTTTAAAAAGTTACTTTTTCCTTTTGGTTCCTTTTCAGCAAAAGCAGTAAGTTAGTAAAGGAACGCTACATCGTTTAAATTAGTTCCATTGTACAGTACAGCCAGCCTTCATGCTTTTCATACACACCTATCGGTCACCATATCTCTGATCATACTTAGTCCCAGCCAGATCTTGATTGAAGCCAAAGGAAATAAATACACTCTAAGACAGTAGATACTTAAAGTTTTCCTTGTCCAAGTGGATATTTTTATATTCTCACTTAAGTGCTCAAGATTTAGTGCTGTGCATCATGAACACCCATTCTCAGTTGCTTATTGCAGCCTCAGCAGCATATGCTTGGAGTTATTTCCAACTTGTCTTACCTGTCTTTTTCAGACAAAGTTTCTCTTGGGTCTGCTTTAAAGGCATAAAAAGAGAATCATGGAAGTTGTATACAATGTCATTGTCATGACAGGCATCAGCGTAACTAAAATGCAAGGTCTAGCTAATTCCAACCTCTGTTGAAGGAGATGAGGCATAATTTTAAGTGATCAGAGAAGGAAAATGTTGTTTCCACTTACGATTGATACTTGAGCATCCTTTGGGATGTTGAGTCCAGAGGGATTTGTCAATATGATAGTCCATACCTTTGAAAATGTAGGGTATGAGAGACGAAGAGAGTTTTCAAAGTGCTACCTTCTCCTGGCAGCATCAGGTTAAGACAGCTACTGATAATAGCTAGCTGCTGAAAGTTAGTGCTGTTTGCCTGAATGTATTCAGTTCTGTGTCGTTTTAATCTTATTAAAGTTTTGCTCCACGTTGTCTGACCAACTCTACTGTGTTATCACTCATAAAAAGGGAGGCAGTCAGAGTCACGTGAGGGGGATCTCTGCTGTTAATCTTTACAACTGTTGCCTGTGGGAATAGTTTATGTTCTTGATGTGAGACTTCGCTTCAGTCTTGTGACCAATAAGACTAACCGAGACACAAATGAGCTTTTCAGTGAAATAACGCTGTAGTTGTGTTTGATACTGGATTTTCAATATATTGCATTCCCAATTTTTTTACTGGTTGACTTGGCTCTGACTGTTTTATCCTTTTCTTCTGTTTGCAGATGCAAATGAGTCTTCTGTTAAACTGAACCATGAGTCTTGCATTACATGATCTGCTCATTTGTTGTCGTCGCCTTGAAAATGAGAAAGCTGTGGAGCGAAGGGTAACAAGTTTTCTTTTGGTGTGTGTGCCTCAATTAGCAAAGAAGGAAATCATAAATAATTCTTTTTCTTGAAATACATTTTCAGAAAGAAATTGAAAATTTCAAGCGGCTTCTCCGTGATTCTGAAACAGTTCTCCAGCTGGACCGGAATTCTGATTCTAAACAAGGAAAGCAACTCAACTGGGATGCTGTATTTAGGTAGTTTCCTTTTCTTCCTTTGTGAATGGTCGCAATTTTCTTACATGGAACATCATTCTTCTGTTTATTGGGCCTATTTGAATGTTTATCTTTCTGCAGATTGATTTAGACTTCTTGTCAGCTTGCAAACAAGAAATGACTAATGTTAATTAGGACGTAATTTTGAAATAGCCTAAAATGCAACACTTATACAGAAAACTGAACTGCTAGGAAACTGATCATTAATTGGGTGGTCGTTTTTCCTTGCAAAAATAATAGTTACTTTCTTTTATTGAAAATTATCCTCTGCATCTGATTTTCAACGTATATGACATTCATATGTAGATTGTAGATAGCTCATTAGAATTTTTTGTGTTACTGAGTTCTTCAGGACACAATAGAAAGACCATGGCTTGTGAATTAAAAGAAGTTGTGCTGAGGTTTGTAGAGGCCCACCTTTGATATAATCTGCTTCACGTGTACTACGAGATTGGACCGAGCACGAGTATGATAAGTTCTTAGAGCAGCTGGGACCAGTGTTAAATTTCATGTTAAAAGTGCATCTGAAGTATTAGTTTTCATAGGCTGGTGTCTGGTCAGCTTTCCATTATGTTTTTAATTGGACAGCATTGGAATAGTTCTTGTTTCATAGCTGTGCCAAAAATATCTTAACAAGTGTTTGATAAATTTTTATATGTTGCTTTTGAGATGGCCAATAATATATTAGAAATACATAGGAGGAATACAAAAATAGAGACTCTAAACTGAACACAAGTAGTAGGCCAGAAAATCTACCGTAATTGCCAGTGACAAAGCCAGTGAAGTTTAATCTATTCTTA